TTACAACCTAACCTATAACCTATATAACAAACTAACAACCTATGTCTAACAAGTCTGATTTTAAGGGCTCCAATGAGCACAAAACCAGATAGTATCGAGGTATAGCAGGTCTGCATTGACGACGAATGCGGATTAGTAACGACACTATTCATATGAACTACGCGATCCCTCGAGTGGAAGCAGATACGCATGGGTCACCCGTAATGAGAATATGAACATACATAAGCAGCTGATAATCAACTATGTTGACATTTCCTCGAGTAAAACACGAATCCTAGCCACTTCTTCCAAAGCGCCGTTAACAACTCCTCGGGCCTGACGAGCTTTTTTCTCATTCTTATCGATGATGTGTGGCTTTACCTGAATAGGAGAACTTCTATTCATAAGCAAAGACCAAGTTACTCTGAAGCTCACTTTGCCTTCCTGCTTATCCCTGAGCACAATAGCTTCATATTTCTCCGCTTTTCTTCGAAACTGCTCACTCCTCTCTTCGTATTTCTTCAGAAGTCGCTGCAATCGGGAAACAAAATCGGAGCGGTGTGAGCTCTGGAAGCAGATAAAACAATATTTCTCAAAACATACAGGGGGGGGGGCAAAAAAAAGTCATTTTGCCTCCATGACTTTCAAGGCGCTATAAGTTACACTTTATTAAATTTTTATCGGACATTTTACTACATATAAAGAGCACATTAAATACTATAATGATACTCCGCCACAGCCTTCTGGAGGAGCGCCATCGAGAGATTCGGCCGCGCGAAAGTGAGTGGGTACCGGAGTTGAGCGAGATCGTCGATTTCTCCGCCACCGTAGACCACCCTCTTGAAGTCCGCCCGAGCTAAGTAATTGAGTGGGTTCAGGTCAGGGGACATACTTCAATATTACATCTTCTTCAGGTACGAAACGCCCTTCCATTCGAAGTAGGCGGGAGTTTTTCCAAAACCCTTTGATTCCATGTGGTGGCACCCAAACCTGTAGCAGCACAAGGTCTCCAAGAAGGTACGGGCGACCACATGTAGGGAGGATAATTCTTCAAGAGCTTACTTGATGTACCGCGCAGCGCTCACTCTTCAGTCGGGGTCTACAAAGAATATCGGTCTTCCCCTTTCCAAGTACCCCGGTCCATACCATCAACTCGCGCCTCGGCGAATACGGTGAAGATGATGTCCTAGACCGTAGCGACGTTGCCGTAGCTGCTCGATGTGGGAGGTCTTGCAGATCAAGAGTACTGACCTCCAGGTAGCTATCTGTGGATGACTTCATTCAAGAAGTTTCGCAGCTGTTTGGAGGCGACGTGAATTCCAAAGGTGTTCTCCAGTCAGGCCGCGACTGGAGATGACTTCATATTTTGGCGTACATGAAGGCGATTGGCGGCAGCCTGCTCCAGCTTATAGAGGAAGATCTTGGGTATCTTCCGCCTCTGGTACTCATATCCACTTCCTCTGTCTGGGCTGCGAAAACTTCGCTCATATGTGACTCGGCCGGAATGACTTTTTTTTGCCCCCCCCCCCCCCCTGTATATGTTTACATTTTTCACCGATATCTGAAATAGTTTCGGTGCATGAACTATAATTATCAAATTAGCAATAAATAACCTCGATTTTGGAGAGACAAGCGGAGCGTTATGACCGACGGAGTGGCAGGGAACCGTAAATCCTGGCGGAACTGTGTGATCAAGAGAACTGACATTCAACAAGTCGAATTTTGCGAGATCAAATAGCACCGAAGAAAGCCGATTGAAGTCTGGAAGATGTAATACGTCGCCATGCACGCTCATAAAAACATGTCACCTTCGATACAGGAATAAATACATCAGCTGTCAGTGAAAGCAGTAAAAATCTCTAAAAATCAAAAAAAGTGGTAGATAAATGTGCCCTGCACCAGAGTGCAGCTGAGAGTGGTGCCGGACATTTATCCAACATACTCATTCTGTTGTTTTGCGAGGTGGAGGTGGTGTAGTGGCAAAAAGTGCGTGGACCACGAGCACGGGGGTCAAATCCCAGACCAGCTCCCGATCAGGCCAACCATGCCCATGCCCTCTATCCTCCGGAGCAGTAAACGGGTACGTCGGAGATCGGCTGGAGGATAAGGGTTAGCCATTTATGGTAATTCGGCCAGCCTAATTTAGAGGTAGCTGGCACCTGGCAGCGAGACAGCTTTAATGAGGTGCGAAAACTTGGTGCCTAGCTGCGAAGTGACCTCATTAAGGAGAGAGGGCTTCACAATTGAGGTTATTGAGGTCGTGGCGCGCATTTAAAATAATTTCTGCACGACGTAGGGGTCGCACGATAAAAGCGAGCCTACAAATTCGCTATATGTTTCTTGCTGGCGCATTTCTGGGAATGCCAAAAAGTGAGTGAAAAGTTTGCTGAAGAGAAGCCGTTTCGAGCCGAGCTCTTTTCTTCCTCTTCTTCCTCTTCTGCTGAGCTCTTTTCTAACTGTAATGTTGAATATACACAGTTGAGGAGAAGTTTGTCAACCATGCATCGAGATGTGTTGTTCAAAATTCAGGGTGGAAAAAGTCTTACCTATTCCGAAGGTATTCAGAATTGTTGGCAACAAACAGCTTCGGCGCCGTTTATAAAATGTCAGAACCGTGATCATGGCTTTTGATGACCCTTCACAGTTTCATTTTCACCCCTCCCCCCCCACCCCCGTTGCAAAGGTTACCGCTGGAGATAATGGAAGCATCTACAATGGGACCCCCGAAAGAGTCGCCCTAGGAGCTCGTATACACGTGCTCTGGGACCAACATGGTTTCCTCTAAAGTCGTGCCGAATTTGAGAAGGGAAATTTGCGAAGGTTGGGTTAGCCGGTGAGCTATACGAGATGCGGGTCAGGGTGCTACTGCCAATCCAGTGGCCGGTCTTTTACCACCATAAACCTTTCCTCACGAGGGTAATTGATGGCCCCAATCACGAATCTATCACTTATTTTTTTTTCTGCCGAGGCCATATATCGCACCAGCTTAGGTGTGCGCCAGGGCAGCTTATGCGTAGGTTACAAACCGGACTTCAGTAAGTAAATACGCACTATTTAACTTATTCCTACCGCAAAAACGTCAAAAATAATTTCTTCGTCTGAAACGTGTGCTATGAGTGTGTCGATGCCGCTGATCACGATATAACATGTCGTTTTGAACGCGGGGCGTCATTCTGGCGCAATGCGCCATTTGCACCATTATGGTCAGTAATGGCACCAAAATGTACGAGCCAGCGCTATGAAACGGATGTGTATATGTGATCACGCGTCATCGAATCTACTCTATAGGCCAACGTTGGAGAAAAAATTATTTTGAGTTTGGGTAGGAGTAATGGTTTCAATAGTGTTCAGAAAACTCCTGCCGCAACCAAATCAGCGATGAGTTGCGTCATGGTCAGATGTGAGTGCCGTGCTCGTGAACAGGGCATCGAGTGAACCCGTAGCCCAACTTTCAGCAAGAGTTTCCTCAATAGTGTATCAATAAGCAAACAAAGAAAAATAAACATTGGGGAAATGCATACACTCCACAGCACAGAATCCGTTTCGCCGAGCGCAATAATTAATTGGGACCGGTTCGTTAGCTAATTGTGTAGGTAAGAGAATCCTTATACATATTTCATTGACCTCTCTCGTCATTTTATTGATCATCTATCACTTATTATGTCAACATGTGGATAAACGTAAGATGACTGTCAGCCCTCGTCGTTTCTAATTGAGGTCACTTCGTCAGCCCTAGGCAATCGAGTTTTCGCACCTCATTTGTAAGTATGCCTCGTCGGCGGGTGCTCAAGCTACCCTCTAAATTAGGCTGGTCGTCACGCAATAATCCGTCCACCTCGGAGGAATCGGATCATAACACTGACGTCCGTCGGCTGGTTCCAGCAAGTCATTCTATTGCATTCAATTCGCCCGCATTCAGTAAGCGGCTACGATTCTATTAGGTCATCCCATTCAAAAGTGCCGTCGGTTTTTTCGAATAAAACAAGAGGAGAATAGATAAAAAGTAATATTTTGGCTTCCAAGTTAAGTAAATCCCTCCTTCACCAATGACCCGCTCCCAGCCCCGAAAGCCTTTGGACCTCTGGTACCTTCGATTTTTCAACAAGTGCGAGTAAATTGCTGTTGATGCCAATTTCGGCGAATGACAAAACATTGTAGCGTTTGCCGTCGGAGAGTACCCTCGACTGACCAGAACAGTTGGAATCGAACGGCTTTATGTTGGGCGAATGGGGCGATTGAAGGTCTCAGTATTGTTTGTGTCCCAGCGCTGCCCTACAATACAGTTACTAGGGGTCTGGCACTATGACGAGCAACGGTGGCCTTCTTGTAGTTGTGTGGTATCATCCATTTGTCGATCTGATTGCCGAGGAACAGGCAATATACACCGATAGCGACGATTTTATTCTCTGTATAGAGCCGCCTGAAAGCCACAGTGTGGGAATCCTTCGCTATGATGATCATCCACTTGGGCCCACGTAACTCCTCATGGTAGAACTCGGGCGGCTTCTCATCTGCATTCATACAAAATTGACGATTGTGAGTTTTGGCTCGAGGTCCAAGACCACCCATATTTCATCTAGGGCCGGGGTGCGTTTTCACAGTCGTGAATGACATCTCATGCTGAGAACATTACTGCTAGAGGCATAGAATCGGTACTGCGTTCGTGCTTCTACAAGAAAATTAGGTACCCATGCGCACACCCTCTTGACCATCCTCAGTTTATCGGACATAACTCGGGCAGCAGTTGCAGCTGGGATGTCAGACTCGCGGGGAAGCTCGACAAGGGGACCGGAAGGTCCAGGCTCTGTGATCAGACATTCAGCGCTTGACTTCATCCACCCTTTTTTCTTGTGCAGGATGAACATTATGGGACCATCCACGACAACAAATTTTTTCCTTTCTTCCTTCTTCGAGCTTCTTTTTAATTCTCGAGAACTTCTTCTGTGGGTAGGTTCGCCAAATTTCACAGATACATAGCTAAAGGTACTAGCCTTCAAATGGTATACTAGCCCGCTGCCCTATCCCCTTTGCTTTTCTGCCATTCCTCTACATGTCTCGGCACTTTTGAATGGGATGACCTAATAAAGGAAGTGGGATGGGTGTCCCATCCCAAAAAGGGATTAATTAACGGCCAAGATTTCATCCTATATCATTACTGGTTCGCTGACGGCAGATCAGGAGTCAGCCAGCAACCAACTAGGTGCGGTCATCCCACAGGCGATTCCACAAGGCGAGAGATGGAGATGCAAAGTGATTACAAATGCCCGACACACCGCAGGTGCCAGTTAAAGTCACACCGGTTCATTTGATATTCATGTGATGCTTTCTATGGATAAGTAGTCCCACAAGAGGTGGATGTTCTACGCTCAATAAATGTGAGGAAAGCGTGACCCTTAGGCGACAAAGCAACCGTCACTCCCTAGTCACAAAGCTGATTATTTTCGAACCCAGAACATGCCTTTAAGTAAACGGGAGTTTCATAAATCGAATGATCATAGCTGGCTGTATTTCTCCTTCACGTCATCATTGCTGTCAACCGTTTCTTGACGAGCGATCTTTTTGTCAGTTCCAGAAGTTTTTAGTTGAAGTGGCGCAGCTCCCCTGCTCGAACTGTGCAAGCTGCGCGATAGCTTTCAAAGTGAATAAGCCTTCCAGTCACAGCTAAGAAGATACTAGAAGATAGACTGATTCATTACTTGTTTGTTTCATTACTCATGATTGTTACATTGTGATTGACCAATAAATGATGATGATGATGATGAT